TAATTGGTCTAGATTTAGGGATCTAATAGCAAGAACCAATAATCGTTGATTGCTCACTGAGCGCTTTTTCTACTGAATGCGCCCAATGCCTGCGTTCAGCAGAGAAAGCTACTTTGTAACTACATTACAAATTCGCGAACCTGATTAATATATGCTCTTAGGTTCTAAGATTGAAAGCATGCAATAGATTCACGAATTTTTCAACAGTTGCAAAGCAACTTTCTATGCTGAACGCAGCCAGTGTGTTGTTGCGTTGCGCTGCTCTCGTCGATGATGTCGAAGGAACGCGTATGTTGTCGGAAATAAAAAAAATAACAGGTGAAGATGGAATACGCACAACATAAAATCTAACCCGCTGTTAAATTTATCATTTGAAGGCGGAAAAACGTTTCACATTTTGTTATTGAATTCTGTTTGAAAAAACTGAGCCCCATCTGAACTGCAGTTGATTCGTACCGCGATCGGTGAATACACGGCGACGTGTAGCGGAGATCATGGGCACTATTTTATGCATCTTCAGAGGAGGTCAGTTGTGGGACTATGTTAAAATAATAGCAAAGAAATAGAAAGAAATTTCCTGTCTATACAATCACGTGTGACAACTCAACGAATCGTTGCACGACAAATCGTTGCACGTGATTGTATAGACAGGAAATTTTTTTCTATTTCTTCGTCTATTTTTTACATAGTTCTACCACTGTTTTTTAGTTGAACTATCTGATCTAGTAGGTTAGGCGACAGATTCCCGAAAAGTGGAGGGGATAATGTTGGTACCAAAGAAAATCTCTACACGATATAATTTAAAGATTCTGTTCTTTGTAACTGCACTGCTAAATTGGTGCAATAAATTGAAATGAGGCAAGTATACGTTTTCTCACTCTAATCTTTTGCATTGGTTCAGCAGTGCAGTTACAAAAAACAGATCTTTAAATTATATCGTGTAGAGATTTCTCTTGGTACCAACATTATCCTCTCCACTTTTCGGGAAACTGTCGCCTAACTGATCTAGTACACACTGGTACAATAGGTTAGAATGAGATAAATATATTTTGTTAGTCAGGCAGTTCAGCTAAAAAGAATAAACTTAGGCCTATTCTATATTGTAGATTTTCGCATGCGTATCTCATTTGCACACCGTCGGGCGATGCACGACGCGACACGTGATATGCGACGACAATATCCAATGAGCGTACTGATATTCCAGAAAAACTATATCATTGGATATCGCGCGTCATATATTGTGCTGATCTGCAAAAGCCATGAGTTCCCACTTAGCGCGCTTAGAGCATATATAGGGTGTCCCGAATAGAAATTTCTATTAAATAATCTTAATATCGACGATATATATAAACAACGGTATATTAAGCCGGTATAATACTCATCAAGAAAATGAATTGATTAAACGCATCGCCGTTGATATGCCATGTCAATATTAAGATTATCTAATAGAAAGTTACTATTTAGTACACGTATCAAGTGCACGATGTAAACCAGGCCATTTATATCATTTAATACGCGTATTAGTTTAGTACGATACTCCTACTTGATACGCTCGCACCAAATTGATCTATCAGTGTTTACATCGTATGTATTAAATATTTAGTACGAATTTGATACGAATATAGTACCTGATACGCGTATCAAGTGCACGATGTAAACCAAGCCTATACTTTTGAGGCGTTTTTTCGTTTCTTGGCAACGGTCGCGTTTGGTTTGTTAGTTTGATCCACTTAATGCTCGCAACGTCGCGAGCGTCATTTATCTTTGTTGCTCGAGGCGTTGTGAACGTTAAGTGAACCAAACTAATCAACCAAATGCTACCGTGGTCACGAAACGAAAAAACGCCTCTGCTGTAGCAGCGAGTGAAGCCGGAAGTTGGCAGTTTAAAATAGAGTGAGAAAGTTGATTTGCCCCTAGTGCTTTCTCATTCCATCATATAGAAAGAATATGGCCGCTGTCAAGCTGTCAAGTGCTATATATAATGCAGTGCAGAATTAAAAGAATAAAACCGTATATTTCACTTATCTCGATATAAAATTGATATTTATAATATTTTATGCTGTGTATAAATAATCGTAGCAATTGCTCTGATCCTGTTCTCATTTCATTATCAAATGAAAAAGGTTAGGTTGCTATGACGGGATACAGTTCTTGGAGTTACACGACAAAATCCATAAAAAGGGAGAGGATAGCGTTGGTACCAACGAAAACCCCTAGGTAACTTCCTTCCTTCCTTCAATATTTGGCTAGAGGCGCTGCCACGGCTCAAACTCCAACGCCATTACTCCAATCCCCTAGGTAACTCAAATTAAATTTCTGTGAATTATTCAGGATTAACACCGCGTCCAATGTCCGACGTACGACGTCCGATATCCAATAGGAGAACAGCTGTTTAATAGAGGATTCAATTCTCCATTGGAAAGCTATTCTTTTATTGGATATCGGACGTCGTACGTCGGACATCAGACGCGATGTGAATTCTGCATTAGTAACATTGAATAAGTAGTGATGTTGGTTAGTCGAAACCTTCTTGACGTAAAGCTGGCCACACACACTTTCGTAACAGTAACCGTAAGACGTAACGTAGGTTGGGAGTATACATTAATTTTAAGGGATTTTTTGGTAAAAATGTGGCTTTATTGTGAAAAAATGGTTACAAATTGATCATTCAAAATATTGTCCATCGCTAGCCACTACTTTTTCTGATAATAGGTAGATTCCTCGTCGAAAGAACGACACATCTTTTGACGCTATCCACGAATCAACCCATTTTTTTATATCCTCATAAGAATGGAAGCGCTGTATTCCGTAACCACTTACCGACAATTGTCGAATCGGTAGACGTCGTTGCGCAGCTTTTCTATGGTATAAAAAAGCTGCGCAACGACATCTACCGATTCGACAATTATCGGTAAGTGGTTACGGAATACGGCCCCTGCTCAGACAGGCCATGAGTCATCGATCGATAGGTGATAATTGGAAGGAGCAATATCTGGAGAATACAGTGGGTGTGGTAGGACATCCCAGTTAAGTGCTTCTAACGTTTCCTTGACCGGTTTCGCAACATGTGGCCGAGCGTTGTCGTGCTGGAAAATCACTTTATCGTGTCTTTTCGCGTAATCTGGCCGTTTTTACTTCAATGTTCGGCTCAATTGCATCAATTGTTGTTGGTAACGTTCCCAGTGATGGTTTCGTTGGGTTAGAGCAGCTCATAATACACTACACCCAGCTGATCCCACCAAATACAGAGCATGAGCTTGGCGCCATGAATATTCGACTTTGCCGTCGATGTTGATGGTTCGCCTGGCCTGCACCATGATTTGTTGCGCTTCGGATTATCGTAGCGTATCCATTTTTCATCATCCGTCACGATACGATACAAAAAACTTCTTTCTTGCTTCAATGCTGAGCGTTGAAGCAAAAACGGTCAGATTACGCGAAAAGACGACAAAGTAATTTTCCAGTACGACAACGCTCGGCCACATGTTGCGAAACCGGTCAAGGAAACGTTAGAAGCGCTTAACTGGGATGTCTTACCACACCCGCCGTATTCTCTAGATATTGCTCCTTTCGATTACCACCTATTTCGATGACTCATGGCCTGTCTGAGCAGCACTTCCATTCTTATGAGAAGTAAGAATTGACCAATTATGTTGAGAATCGTTGAATCGTAAGATCGCCATTTTTATGAATACTCGATTACAATTGGTCAATTCTTATGTTATGTCTTACGGTTATTGTTACGAAAAGTGTATGTGGCTTATACGTGTGATGTTTTGACATAAGTGTGTCGTCGGACATTGTGTGCACGTCGCATATGTAAAATAAATCCCAATCTACAATAAATGTAGCAAGCTTTAAGTTTTAAGAAATTGACCAATCACAGTCAAATGTGAAAAGAATAATCGACTGTAATTGGTTAATTTCTTAAGGCTTAAAGTTTACTACATCTTTTGTGGCTCGGGACTAATAAATATTTTATAAATGTATATGTGTGTATTAAATGCATTGTGACGTGTAACTAATAGCATGTTCGACTGGCTCTGAGTTAACCCACTCTGGGTTATTCAACCTACGTTTATTAGTCGAACAAGTACTTATAAGCTTTATGATTGGCTAGTAGAGACTTGTGACGTCATTAATCGCTCTTGGAGCGATTAATCCAGAGCCAGTCGAACACGAAAAAACGCTTAATATAGAAATGAGAACTCTGATTGGTCAATTTTCTTATGCGTTGTGCATTATGCCTTTATGCAAGAGTATGTGCTTCCCACTTTACGCGCTGTAAGCGTCATTCTATCTTTATCACTCATTACATGCGGGAAGAAGATAAAATGACGCTTACAGCGCATAAACGCCCAAAGCGAACGCAGCCTTTATGGGGGACTCGTTTTGGCGGAATACTTAAATGTGAAACGGAATTAAAATTCAATCATGAAGTTTACAATTGATCAAATTTTTTTACGAATTTAAGCAGTCTCGATTTTTTCTTGAATAAAATTTAATAATAGAGAAAATAACAGTTAATTTTATAAATTGTAAACATAATTGAAAGAGTGTATAAAACTGAAAGACATAACGTATAATCTGCGAAGTTTTGTCTGTAAAAGTTTAAAAACTCCTCAAATTCTCTAATATCAACAGCCGTCGACAATATTAATGCAAATAATATGAAATATCTATTAGTTCTATATTCCCTATAAGAACTAATATACATAAAATACAACAGGCAGAATCATTAATTTATTAATTATTAAATGCATTTATTGAACTTATATATATATATACTCGAATATGTAAACTAATTAAATTATTAAATTACATATTTATATAAGTTCATCTTAAACAGGCTTCAGTTGTTGAGAATGACGTATTTAAATGACATACTAAAATAAAAAGATTTTTTTCAACATAAAATTATCAATTTAGAGACACCAAACCTATTTGTTTGAATAATTTAGTATCGCAAGTTCCATCGAATATACAAGTAAACGAGAAAATCTTGTTATAACTTTCACTTTGTTTCTGGAAACTATATATAAAATTTCGGTTATGTGATTCTCCAATACGACCGTCCCTATAAATATTTCGAAAACTGTGGTAGAAATCAAGATGTTCCTTCCTCCTCTTTTTACTTCACTGAGAAACATCGTGATCTTCATTTCTGCAGTTACACCGTGTCTTAAAAAAAGGTCGATAGTTTTCGTATAATTACATACGCACCGTCTTCAATTGTGTATTAACAAATCGCTTTTGTCACAGTCCGCGCGAGAATTACTTGATAATTAAGTTATTTTTCTCTCAACAGTTTCTCATCTTTATATATCATTTCTCGTCTTGAAAAGAATCGGTGTGAAGCCGGCGCTACTAGCTCGATTTACTCACAACATTCGCTTCTGCACATTTAGGAACTACTTGGCAGCAATGAACGGTGACGCGAGCGACTCGCACAATACAGCTGCGTGTCCTATTTATAATCGTCTTCTTTTCCTCACTTATGATCTAGTAATTATTCTAAGCGTGTTTTCATATCTTTCTTTCTCCTTTATCCCATGAAGAATAAAATAGTCTTGATACAAACATTGGATCTCAAACGAGAACAGATTGTTATACTGCGAGATTTGAATTAATACAATTATTCACTCCCTCTTCTCTCTCTTTCTCTTCCTTTCTCTCTCTTTCTTAATGTTTCGTATGATCGGAAACTTGGAAGTCACAAATTCAAAACGACAAGACTATGAACAAATCGAGAGTCATAATGAATGACGTATGGTTGCACAAAAAGATGTGTTAAAGGGAGAAGAGCTAGAAAAAGAAAAGGAGAGGAAAGAGAGAGAAAGAGAGAGAGAGAAACAGAGATATAAAAAATATTTTATTTTAGTCTTAAGGACGAAATTAGGAATTGTATTGTGAAAGAATAAAAGGAAGTATTCTAAGCTACGCCAAAGTGTCCTTAACGTTTCCCGTTATTATAGTTGAGAGCTCGTAAAGGTGCTTTGAACGTAGATGCAGACTGTTGCTGGATCTGATATGCTAGAGGATGGATTTTAAAACCGTATAATCTGAAAAATAAAAATTCCTTCTTTAATTTGATTTTTTCATAATCTATTTACGTACAAAAATGTACGTACTTAAACATTCAAATTTTAGTTATATCAAATATATCTTTGTGTCTTATATTTAAAACCAAACGCAATTTATCATGTTTATACTCTGTGACGAAACTTTGATTAAAAATAAATGTTACTCAAGATTCAATGTCGCGCTCAACTTGAATTAGGTAGCTCCTAAAAGTCTCTAAAATCAACGCATATCGTAAAATGAAAGTTTTGGAATTCGACTTCATTTTCTTAACGAGTAATTATTATTAAAATTTTATCCTCGATTGTCTTCTGACTCTCTTATTTTGTTGCCTCTTACGGCTTACGCGTCGACGGGTGACGTGCAATACTTGCCTGGGTATAAATTGATTTTGCGCACGCTTCGGTCTGTATTCGGGGTGAACCATAAACAACATATGCGGAAATCCCGTCCCAAAGTATGCTCCGTCTGTATGATGATGTCTCGAGCTCTTCGGCGTGTAAACGTCCATGCACTTGGGACAGTAGCTCTTGACCATTGCCTCACCAGGCACGTCGCTAAGACCCAGTGGCAACATCGGCTGGGACTCGCAGTAGACGCGCGGACAGTGACCGAAATCGCCCGCTTGATACTTCTCGATCATCTGGGCGATGCCACGATTCGTAAGAATGTAACGCGCGTGAATAAGACCGTACAGCATCTCCGCGGCTTGCTCAATCAGGTCGGATTGATTCGGATTGTCATCCAAATCATCATCTTACAAACAAAAGTGGAAGATTAGTTTGACTGACTTCACACAGAAGTAATAACATAAAGTTACTTAAAGGTCTCAGAAGTAATATATTTAATGATAATTATAATTTGTTTTGCCATTGGTGGCTATTTACCTGGCTCAAGATCAAGGATCATATCTAATGCTTGACGATAGTGTGGCACTTGCTCATTCAACCCTGTTAAGTTGAATTTGTCTTGAATGTAGTCCTCATCCACCTGGATACACAATAGAGAAAATTAATGAATGTTCACATTTGAATATTGACCAGAAAATCACAAATATTTAAAAAATTTATAATATAGACTTATATAATCACTATGATGAGGTTGCGAGACAAAATAAGAATCAAATTGAGAATTTAAGCATTTCAAAGCATCGTGGTGTTTTCTTTAGGTAAAAAAATATATACACCATAATTATATAGAGTATACATAGAAATAAGTTTCTTTTAATTGTATACTATTCTTAAGTTACTGTTTAATATTACTCCAATTCTATAAACTCACAGTAAGAGCCTCACCATAAATTTCAAAGAAAGTATACTCATTCTATTTCTCGTTGCAAGTAACATTTGCAAAATTAAGATAATCTATAGATCTATCTTTTTTTAGATATACTAGTGCTGAACTTTGTTTCATCTTTCTTCAATGCTGTATCATATATTTATTTCATCCTAGAGGCAAAAAGTACAACTTAGTTCAGCTAAAAAGAATAGACTGCATGAAGAATAGCAAAAGGTCTGTTCTTTTCCAAAGAACTTCCTAAACTAGTATACATTGATACAATAAATTAGAGTGAAATAAAATATATTTGTTTCACACTAAAGCTAGCAGCATACGATGCTTGTTTCCATGCTAGTTTCCATGCTTGCTGGATGGAAATGCTCTGTTCTAATTAGTACATTTCTGAAGATGGATGGAAATACACCAACCAAAACAGAGTATTTCCATCCAGCAAGCAATCCAACATGAAAACAAACACTATGTATGCCACTGGCTTAACTCACTGCTCAAGTATACATCAATTGAGGAAGTTTTTTGAAAAAAAACAAGCCTGAATGATCTGAAAAGTTACATTCCCCAAAGTTAGGAAACAACTTATACTTTCCTCAAAATCTAAGGTGTGACATCTACTCTTATCATTCCAGCATTCCAATGCTATGTCTCACAGAACATTCGAGCACGTGAATGTGCTGCAGCATGCTGATGGCACTCACCTCGCAAAAGAACTCATTCCCTCGCAGACCGCAAAACCACGAGATCCAAGACACCTCCTCGGAGCTGCTCATCTTTCTGTGGCAGAAGAAACCACGAGGGGAATCCCGTTAGTACTGTGCCCACGGTACGCGCGGACGGGAGTTGGGTGACAGCGAGGGTAGGTGCGGCACTGTCGTGATGGAAGTGCACCCGGATCTCGCAGGCTTTCTCGCTCGCGTACGATAGCAACGTGCACGAGAAAAACACGTCGTCGACGCGTGCTCGAGCGCTCTCGCACGTCGGATTGTGAGGTGAGTGGTTGTTTGGTTAGAGCGGCGCGAATTCCGGCCGAAGAGAAGAACGTCGAAGGGGGAGGAGAAAATGACGAAGGGGTAGGAGCAACGGTCGCCGGACGGGGGTAGCGCGGGGTGTGCTCGGATGGAGCTCGTTTTACTAGGCAAGATGCCCGACAAGTTACGTCCCGTTCCGGCGCGTTCACACCTACGTTTCCGTGGTCATCGCTGCTTCGTCAGCTGTTTTGCGAGCACGACGTACAGTCCGACGCGGCCAGGAAGCGCATCGCTCGTGCGAATTGCCGACGCGGGGCCCGGCGGCTCGATGAAAAACCCAAAAATAAACAGCACCTCGCGGCTTACCTTTTCGTGCTTTGATTAGCCACGCTTGCTGTACTCTCACGGACACAGAGGGCGTAGTAGAGGACCGCGGTTCGACTCATCACAAGTGACGACGCCTTTGGCGCCTGGCGGAACTTAAACCAAATATGGCGACGGTGTTTGACCGCAGTCACCAGCAGAGTCCGCCTTTATCGTGTTGTCGAGAAGTGTCGAGCGAAATTTGTAATGTGACTTCTCTCTCGAGAAAGCCGTTGTGATACTTGTTCGCGAGTATCTCGTCTCTTCCTACTTCTCGTAGTTCAGCGTTCGGTGGTCAGCGTTCCTCTTGTTTCGCAGAAATCACTTGTTATTCTTCAAATTCATCCGAGCCAGCCTTTTCGTTACACACATAGTTTCAATACGAGGTTATATGGCAACCGCACAAAAACGCTTGCCGTGCGACAAAAAGTGACTAGGTAGCCAATGAACTCCAAGCTCTTATGGGAAAGTTGCCAATCAACGAACAATCCAAGATGACTTCCTTCATGCGCGTGATTCAAAGCAGTTCTGTGCTGTAGCAGCGCCGATGTTCATGCGTTCGCGCGGAGAAATTGAACCAATCACGTGTGAGATAGAAGAAACGCGCGATTGGTCGTTTGTATTTGTACGTAACGTGCAGTCGTTGGAGCTTTTCAGTTCGTCGTTTTTATTCATGTTCCAAGTTTTGTGTAATCTATATATATCTAATTAACATCCAGTTTAAATTCAAGAAATGGAAAAAAAGAAATGGTACAAGAGTGAGTACTTTATATCAACGATCACGTGATCATAATGTGTGTATAAACTAGGCGTCATGTATATATGCTTTAATATATTTTCTGTTTGACTGTTATTATTCTGTCAATTGTAATTATAACGTTAAGTTTGTTCTTTTTAGTTAAACTATCTGAACTGATATAATAAGTTAGAGTGAGACAAGTATATTTTATACCAGTTCAGATAGTTTAGCTAAAAAGAACAGACTTATTATGATTGTTCAGTAGCATTGGTGTTTAATAATTATCCCCTTTGATTGACACATATGTTTTTGGATCCATTAACAATTTAAAGATATACTTTCATAATTAATAATCTGAACGAAATTAGTAAGCTGAACACAATTATAACTTCAGTATGGTCCAGAAAGATATACACTAAGTTCCCAAAATAGGACAGATAGTCAAAATACTGTCAATCTGACGTCATTTGTATCAAAAAATTATATAAATTTGGTCAATATTTTGTTAAAATGATGTCAGATTAACATTATTTTGACTGTTTTACCTGGGTCGTTTCTTGCGCGTTTTTATGTTGAGAGCATCATTCTATTTTCCTTCAGCATGTAATGAGTGATAAAGATAAAGTGATGCTTTCATCATAAAAACTTGCTAGACGAACTTGCCTTGGAATTTGTCCTACAATAAAGTCTGAAAAAATGTTTCGCACTGACTGTACGTACAAATTTATCGCGTATGAAAGTTGTGTCATAACCTCGAATAAACTGAGAAAAACAAAGAACACATTTTGCTTTATTTTAATCGCAAGAATGATGCAGAATGCTGATACAGCAACTGTGAAATGATGTGTGGCTTCTCAATCTAATGCAATCCGACTAGATTCAAATTCTACCTATAGTGAATTATGAGTCTCATAATTATGAGTATGTTAACGGTATATTTACGACTTTATTGTCAGCTATAAAAATAACGAGTTGATAACGCCAAAGTCAAACAATCATGCATATCTCCTAGATTCCACTCAGTATCGCGATTGGTCTCAATGCGACCGGTTTTCTTCTTAATTTATTCAGATTCTGGTAATTTCACAGCATATCGACTCAAATCTCAACGAATCGTACATACAATTCTCAAGAAACCAACGTAACTTCTTTCACGAGATAACGGCGGTTACGCAAGTTAAATCTTTCAGTTTAATTCAGCCTAGGCTAAGCAAAACAACGTCATATCAACGCGTTTGTGTGAATTCATGTGTATGTGTATCAAGAATTACACAACGTATACATTTATATTCCTCGACGACGAGTAGTATAGTTATTATCATAGCAATTACAGCAGATAAGTCGGCACACGCGTCGTGAACTAGGATCGTTTAAAGTCTTAAAAGTATGGTGAGTGAGTGAATATGGGTGTGTTCGGGAAGCTCGCTATTATGCTATCATATCATTCTATCCTTGTATATTTAAGGTTGTATTCCAAAACATCTTTTTGAGGAAATTTTACTCGGTACTCTATAGTATATGTAACGCGTGAACTATAGGCATTGAGTAAAGTTTTCCTCAAAAAAGAATGCAACGATAAGGAGCGATAAAGGTAGAAAACGTGATGACGTTGATAACGTGCTCTCTGAACCTTTATACATACTGGAGTAAGTCATCATAGGTTTGGTGGTAAGGTTGCTTTGTCTGAGGTTCGCTGATTGGTTAAGTATAAAGTGAGACAGCCTTACCACTAAAGGCTCACTCCAGGCTGCGTTCGGGAACGTCACCCAAGTGTACCCGTTACGTTGAAATGAGCGAGATACAAGAGTGAGATAAAAAGAGAAGAAGAGTACTCGAGTGACGTTTCCGAACGCAGCCCAGTACGTATAAAGCTCACTGCCCCGACACACACACACACATATATATATATATATATATATATATATATATATATATATGTATATATCAGATGTGTTCTTTTTAGCTGCACTTCCTGTACTTGCTGTACCTCTTCCCTATCTTACTTCCCATTTTCCATTTTCTTTGTGTTCCCTTCTGATGCTCTAATATACATGCTTATTTCTTTCAGATGCAGACAAAATAACATATAGTGTAGTTAAACAATAAACTGTTAGTGAATTGCGACAGAACGTAAGGAGGTGGGTGACGTTGTATATATTTAAAGACGCCATGTTTACGCCCCACCGTATGCTACGACCGTGCGTACATTTGATAAGGAACACGCGCTCCTTACAGTCGACAAGTTTCACGTCATCACGAACGTTGCTCGCGCAAGAGCTCCGTCGTCAACACCCATTGACAGAATCGCTCGTAAAGACCTTCAGTGCCTCGTTTGCGACAATGGCAAAAATAAAGGTGAGTTATTGTTCATTCAAAACTGACGTATGTTGTACAATTGATATGGTATCACTCCCTAACGAAATTATAATTCTTATAACTGCAATAGGCCAATTGTGTAACTTTTAATGACAGAGAGAAAGTCGACAGTGTCGATGTTGCACACTTCCGTTTTTTCGCTGTAGTATTGAAATCCTTTGATTGATTTTAACTTTTTCTTTTTGATTAATTTTTTTCTTTTTAATTGATTTCAATTGTTTTGTCAAATAGTACATACTATATGTATTGGATATAAAGATGGGAATCAAATATAATAGCACTCACATTTCAATAAACATGGAAAATCTGTAAATACTTATTTATTTTTTTTCCAATATAAGGCACACATATTTAATTCATGAAATGTATTTCACCTTTAAGATTTTTCTCCTTTATATATTTATCGATACAATTTGAGTCAAAGAAAAATCTGTTTTGAAAAGAGATTAAATTTTAAAAAGTACATGGAGAAAGACATGATAATGGCAACTATATGAGTTTTGTACATAGAATCAATGAAATATAGTTTACTAAACTAGTTTGTGTTGAGAACTATACTATATATAGAACTGAGTCAGTTCTCCTGACTATTTAGCTTTAGTTGTAATAACTTCAAAATAATTCATTAAACTATATATATTAATTCTACATATAAAATTTTTATAGTCACCTATATTGTTGTCATTCAGTTGCGCTTGCAACTAGTTGCCATCACCATAAACCTGTTTTTTTTTTTATTCAACTAGTGCTGCATTGGAGAAAATTTTGTTCCCTTTCCCTTCTTCAACTCAGTTATATTTTATTATTTTATTCAAATATAATCTTTGCCTTATGGCTTAGAATGGCTTCCATTCTATATATGTTATATATCTCTAATTGCTTCTTTCATCACTGTTTATCTTATCAAAAGATATGGTAGCACTTTGCGCTAAATGAACATGCAAAATGAGAATATTTACGTGACTTACGTATATATTTACGCGACGCCTCTTTAGTTCATTAGAGGCAAAATTATATATTAAACATTAAGCGCAAAGTTCAGTTATATACTTATTTTATTATATATTATATTGTATTATGTTTTATTGTTTTATTATGTTTTATTACATATATATTATTATATATAAAACTCTAAAGAAAATGCTCCTTCTTAGCCTAGCTCAGCTGAAAAGAACAGTCTTTGTGTTTTTTCTCTGAGTATAGAGGCAAGCCAAAAAGAAAACTGCCTTTGAAAACACAAAGATTCTTTAAACGTACTTATGTGACTCTCCTAGGCAGGACCAGTTGTAGACATCCTTGGAGATGAAATGACACGCATCATATGGGACTCAATCAAGCAGAAGCTGATTTTGCCTTACTTAGACATAGAACTGCATACCTACGACTTAGGTATTGAGCATCGCGACGAAACGGACGACAAGGTGACGGTGGAGTGCGCGGAGGCGATCAAACGCTACAACGTCGGCATCAAATGCGCCACCATCACACCCGACGAGAAGCGCGTGGAGGAGTTCAAGTTGAAGCAAATGTGGAAGAGCCCGAACGGCACCATCCGTAATATACTGGGCGGCACAGTGTTCCGCGAGGCGATCATCTGCAAGAACATTCCGCGTTTGGTAACCTGTTGGAAAGAACCGATTATCATCGGCAGACACGCACATGCTGATCAGTACAAAGCCACGGACTTCGTTGTGCCGGGTCCAGGCAAGCTGGAGATCACATGGACAGGTACATCCGGCGAGAAGATTCAACATACGGTCCATGACTTCAAAGGCCCGGGCATCGCCCAGGCGCAGTACAACACCGACGAGAGCATCCGCGCGTTCGCTCACAGCTCGTTCAAGTACGCGCTCTCGCGCAGTTATCCGCTCTACCTGTCGACCAAGAATACAATCCTGAAGAAGTATGACGGCCGGTTCAAAGACATTTTCCAGGAAATCTACGACAAGGAGTACAAGTCGCAGTTCGAGAAGCGCAAAATCTGGTATGAGCACCGACTGATTGACGACATGGTGGCGTACGCGATGAAGTCTGACGGCGGTTTCGTTTGGTCATGCAAGAACTACGATGGCGACGTGCAGTCGGATTCAGTGGCGCAGGGCTACGGCTCACTGGGTCTTATGACTTCGGTGCTGATATGTCCGGACGGCCGTACGGTGGAGGCCGAGGCCGCTCATGGCACCGTCACTAGACACTACCGTCAGTATCAGCAAGGTAAGGAGACATCCACCAATCCAATCGCGTCGATCTTCGCGTGGACGCAGGGCTTGCTGCATCGCGCCAAGCTTGACAAGAACGCCAGCCTGAAACATTTCGCCGAGACGTTGGAGAAGGTCTGCATCGATACCATTGAGTCCGGCTTCATGACCAAGGATCTCGCCATATGTATCAAAGGCATGAACAATGTTACCAGGTCTGATTACCTGGAGACGTTTGAGTTCATGGACAAGCTCTCCGACAATCTGAAGAAACGTCTCAACGATTGACTCGCCGATGAAGAGCGGAACGCAGACTTGCCAGCCAAGTATTAGGTCGCTGTTGCGTCACCAATGATATAGGCAAAAAAATGCAAAATGGGGCTTACGGGGAAAATGAATAGAGATATCGGTGAATGTTATAATAATTTAGATGATCTATTTTGCAATTATGTAAATATATACGAAACTTCTTGGTTTTGCGCTACGTTATCGTCGCGATTTACATTCGGGTTGTAAGATAGACTGTTTCGAGTCGATCGCTGCTCATATTCTTTTCATGGCTATGCAATCGATATCAACCCAGTAAACACGCAAGATAATAGAACACTTGGAAACGTTGATCGTTACTCAGCGAAATGGTTAATAATGCAAATGTAATTTGCCCATTGTGTTTTGTAATTTTTATGCATCAGCTTGTATAATTTCGGTCGATTCATTGCCGATCCAAAGTTCCAATTATACAGCTCGAATATGAGTCGACAAACGTAGTTCTTTTTTATAGATTATTGTTTAATGTTAAATATCATCGAGAATCAGCAAAATAATATATATTATTGAGTAAATAAATCGACGATTAATATATAAATTTAATACATGAATTTAATATTCTCTTTATATAAAAAATTGTACAATGTTGTACATTTTTTAAATAAACTTTTTTACTCACGAGACATTTCACGCGTTTATAACATGAACAATTAAAATCGTTAGGTTCGTTTGTATATTATTAGAGCATAGAGTTGTGAAAATATTGATTAAATTTTTCTCAATTTAATAATTGATTTGAACAAATATATTTCAGTTTAACTAATTAACGATTGATTCAAATGAAACAAATCGAAAAATATTTAATTGACGATTGATTTCAATGAATTCAATTAAAAACTGTTCAATTGACGATTGATATAAGCGAAAAGAACCAAAAATTGTTTAATTAAAAATTGAACTTAGCAAATTTAATTAAAGGCTGTTTAATTAACGCTTGATATAATCAAATTTAACCGATTCAATCGAAGAATGTTCGATTACTCGAAATTACAATTGATTTTGTGAATAACATTTATTCTCAGGGCATCATCACATCATAGAAAATGCTAATGATTAAGTAAGACCTGCGTTGAAAAGAGCAGTGATCATTATCAATCGTCACCAAGCAATCTTCGATTGAATCTATCGAGTTTTCTCGTATCAATTGTCAATTAAATGTTCTTTAATTAAATTCGCTAAGTCCAATCGTCAACTAGGCGGCCTTTAATTAAATTTGTTAAGTTCATTTATTAACTGAACGATCTTTAATTCCCTTCAGTCGTTAATCGAATAGTCTTTAATTGAATTTGTTGAAACTGCTCGACAATCGAGCATTTTTCGATTGAATTTGTTGAAATCAATTGTCGATTAAACGGTCTTTAGTTAAGTTGTCACATATTGATTGTTAATTAAACACGATAATTAATTTAAATAAATAATTGCAATCCTGAAGAGCGTAATACTGTGAAGTTTTTCGCATGTGAATTGGTCTCAGTCACATTCGGTTGTTCCACCATCAGTATTAATATTATCAGTGAGTATAAATAACAGCATGTGGCCTCAATGTCGTGGTTTCTCGTATCTAAAAAAATAACAGCGCCCCATTCGTGACATCAAAAAATAGAAAAATATCAAATGCGTAATCAAATATTTTGCTTGTCAGTTAATTCTTGCGATTGCTTCATTTCACTTCACCCATGTAGTTATCGTTATAAACGAAGGACATTTACGAAATATTCTGAATGACATACGTCATGATAGAAATATTTACATTGAAGTTTCATGGTTGATGTGTTGAGAACGACACGAGTTGTAAGAATCTCATCTTGTCACGATTGACCCCATTATTTTCATTACCAGCGAGATATTACGCGATAACTGTTGCCACGATTTCTTGTGCGATCAAAATCAATATGGTGTTAATCGAGTCTTGCGAAAGCAAAGTTCATTCTCTACGCGCTGGAAGCATCATTCTATCTTCCTTTGGCAATAAGCGATAAAGATAAGAGAATCGCTATCAGTGCTAAACCGTATATGACGAACTTAGCCGAACAGATATTTCGATATAAAAGTGAAAATATTTATATATTCGAGAGAATATAGTTTGCAATACTAATTCATACTAATTATGTCTAGAATCTAAAATATGTATATATCTGTATCGAGAAAAAAAGTCAGGCTTTTTGTTTCTTTTTTCTCAAAAGCGAGTTCTTTAATGGAAATATTCATAGAGTGTGAAAAAAAAGTTTGTATTGATTAACGTAATGGTCTTCATGAACTCGTTGACCTTCTCGACAGCATTCTTTTCAATTATTTATGTGTTATATATTCTTCCTGACTCTATAGCATTACGATTTGATCTTATGTAACATATGTGTATATATTGCATTGATTGAATATGCACACTCATCCGTAACATCAAACGATAAATTTACATATAACTTCCTCTGATATTGTCAGTGACCTATTTTATCGACATGGGTGTATTCTATTCGTTCTATTTTATCCACAAAGCATATAATGAAAGGTCTATTAGTTTTAGTTGTGCTTTCTGTGTTTAAAATAAAGTAAAAACTTGAATATGAATGGAAACGGAAAGGAAGACGCCACAAGAAAGCACATAAAATGTACCTAAGAAGAGCGAGCCTGTATTTTAGCGATAATTATTTGTTATTTCTGACTTCTACTATCCCCAAGAAATTGTCGCCTTTTCGTCGCCTCGCACGTTGCGTTATGTAACCCATCGAGATTTATTTTGCAAATCCGAATGCAGGAAATGCTTATTCCGCGCAGATGCTTGGATTTATTTAACGTTGATTTTCTTCCAATCCATATAGACCAGGCTAAATGTTTGTTTGCTAATTTATGTTCTTCACTTAGATCTTCCTCGAAGATAAAGATCAGGAGGAAATACCATTAATTTGCATTTCGTGAGATTGTCTTCGTATTTTTTGCCTAATGAACATTTTGTTGTAACCATTATCCTTAGATAGTACGAAATATTCTATGAATATTCTTATGAAATACGAATGTTTTTAATTTTAAAACATCTTGTGATATTATATAAATATACGTACAATATTCTATATATAAGCACAGAGATTCGTATATTTATGATAGAAAAGAATGATTTTAGAACATCCATAAGATTTACCTACTGCATGTATGTAATGCATTTATGTAACTATAAAGTTTTCATAATATTCCAGATAATAACATGCATTTATTATAGTCAGGGTTGAATAATTAATTTTTTAATTAATTATATCATGTTTAATTAACGATTAATATAAGACAATTCAACTGAAGACCATTTAATTCTTCAATAAATTCAATCGAAAACTGATTCTTTTCTATTATTCATATTATATATTTTTCTTAGCTTTATATGTTACGATTTTACCTTCAGTTGGTTTCAACAAGTTTAATTAAAGACCAAATAATCTTTAAGTGGACTCGTTGAAATCAATCATCAATTAAACATTCTTCAGTTGCTTTTGCTTGTATCAATTGTTAATTAATTGAATTAAAACATTTGTTTAAATCAATTATTAAATTGAGAAAAATTTAATTAATATTATCACAAATCTGATTACAATTTAATAATGATAGATGCGTGCGCACATCTACGAGGTAAAATATACTTAAATTATTTTTCTATACTTGTAAAAGCAAAATCAATTGTTAATCTACATTTTGTAAATATTTTTTGCACATTCGTAGTACATTTTTAGTTATGTCATTCAGATATATTGTGAACGTACTATGAACATATAGCAGCGCTTTTTTAGTACATCCATAGAATATACAAATATTCGTAAAAAAATATTCATAGAACATATAGCAGCACTTCTTTAGTACATCGATAGAATATATAAATTCGCAAAGAATATTCGTAGAATTTCCATAAAATTTCCTGTGATACGTACACTCAAAAAAATCATCTTACAGTTACGTACAGAAAATTATTTAAATACAAACAATTAGCTAAGATAGATGAATGACTAGCAAACATTGCGATGTCGTATATGTTTTGTATTTAATCAATATAGATGACAGAGACGGAACTTCTATCAGAACTATTTGTGAAATTTAGCAAGAAAGTCTCTGTCTGGCGTCCATCCAGATTAAGGCCAGTCACATTTCTTACAAAAGTAACTGTGATAGACAAAACACACAGACTAGTGACGAGAGATGAATGTATAATCTTCACACCTTTTGCTTGCAGACATTGTTAGAATGCTGCTGCTGTAAATTCTACATACCACAAACAATTTTCTGGCAGATATAGAAAACAATGAAAAATTGTAAATTGTGACATTTAGGACCGGTTTTTCAATAGCAGTTTAAACTTAGATTCAAGTTTAAACTTTATTCTAACAATGCGTTTGTTTTGTTTAAACAGATTTTAAGTAGAAATCTACGTTTAAACTATCATTGGCCGAAAAATCGGCTCTTAGAGTTCTACTTAAACCAGCAAAATATTTTTTTTAATGTAAGACCAATTCACAGGAGATTACCGTCGTGTAATTTAGCGATTGTGATTTAGTCAAAATACCATGCGCGTTGCGCGCGCCCAACACAAGCATCGCTCAATACCAGGAATCTTTTTTGTACGGCCATCTCCGGTTTCCTCCGAGCGCTCCTCTCGATGGCAGCGCGCGATGCATGCACGTTCCTCAGCAGGTAAGAAGTACGGAAATTGTAACGCATTGCGTAACGTCCTGCTACTTTATACGCACACATCAGAGTTGTTATTGTGGTCATCGTGCGTGATATTGCACCCGTAAAGGTCGCTTATCTCCACGGCCCCGGCGTTATAAAAGAGATACGAAGGGAGAAATAATTCTAATCCGAAAGAGTCTAGACAGGACGCCATTTGTCCTGTTTATTACACAGAGCAAAATAAATAATATAAAATTTTATTATTACATATTAGTTCCTTTGTGTGATAAGTACTCGAAGAAATAATCTTACAGGTATATAGCAAAAATTAGCTAAGATGGATAAATGATTAACAAACACTGCGATATCGCATATGTTTTTGTATTTAATCAATGTAGGTAACAGACACAATATTTCTGAATAATTTATGAAATTTATAGTAAGAAAGTTTCTGTAGTACTGATCCAGATTAAGGTACTTCTTATAAAGATGATTGTGGTAAACAAAAAGGATTAGTGACGAGAGACAAACGAAAGTATAATTCTTATACATAGTAATTATCGGTATGTTTCACGTTTTATTCCATGGGAGAAGTGAAAAGAGAGAGATAGCACAAATTCTAAAAAAGACGTCCTACTTCTCTTAGAAATGTTTTAAGTATTTTCGAGAGATCCTTCTAGAAGTTTGTGCTGTGTTATCTGTTACATTATATATTTACAAAGTACATTCGTTCCAAATTTCAGGTTCCGAAACATTGATTTCATATTAACAGAAGATCCCATAGGCGCAGGACACCCTGTATATCGGCACGCTTTACTTCATAGAGGAAACGAGATCTCGAGGACTGAAGCACGCTGGCGTGCCGCTTCCGCGCTTCATAGATCCGTTCGCTTCGAGTTACAGTCGAACGAACAGCTGAGAGCCGTCGTGCGGGGATGGGTGTACTTCCACCAGCGCAAAGTAGGTGACCCTGAGCCAGCGAACACGACAAACAGCGGCGGCATGCGAAGATAGCAGATCCTGCACATCGACGTGCAGCTCGAGGCGCGAGTTTCGTAAAGTAGAAACACGAAGCTTAGATGCGCGAAGAATGTAGGATAAATGGAACCAAGGTGACGCCTCATCGGAACGAGATTAAGCTGTATTTCTCTAGAACGAAGATCGTATCTCCTCATTGCGATAATAGGATAAGATAACGTCATCATGAGGAGAAACAAAGGATGCGCGGTGATGTAATTCACAATTCTAGTGCATAGAGAGAAAAAATTAATTGAATTAATCAGAATTCATTTTTGCTTAAGGTAACCACACAAAGTTAGTTACAAGAGTTTGGTTGAAGTAACCAGATAAGTTTGGCCACTTTAACCAAACTAAACAAAATTGTATTCACATTTTTTACTAAAAATTTTATTAATTTTTTATTTGAGTCGAGGGCTCGTGGGGTTGTTTTGTGCGTTTTTAGGCAGATCTCTCTTTCTGAGAAACAATTGACTATGTTACACGGCAGGCCACGCGACAGCAGTTTCCTCCGGTCGCGGTGTGAGCCATCTACAGTCTCGTTCCGATCAGAACCAATCTTCCGAACGCCGGAGGCTGTTCAATCGTTTCGAAGGAACTGAGGCTAGAAAAGTGACTGTGATGGAGAAACAGCGGCCGGGGAGCGGGGCGTTCCAATATCTTTCCGAATGGGTTACATAATCAGGTTTCGAGTAATGGAAGGTCGCCGACGTCGTCATCTTCGAGCAGCCGGGAAGCCACTCTTCCTTCAATCTGCTGCCGAGAAGCGTAGGACACGAAGAAAGAGAGCAGGAGGAAAAAAGGCCAGGCTCTCTCTCTGCTCCTGGTGTCGGAATTGGAATTGCAGATGGCGCCCGACCTGCGCCACCTCGCCATCGTCGTCGCCGTCGCCGTCGCCGCCAGTCGAGTCGGTCGACCGCGAGGCGCAGCAGGAGGGGCCGGGAAGGGAAGGGAAGGGCTGCGCTCGTTCGCCTCCTCGTAGTCTTTCTGCGATCCGCTCTCCGTTCCGTCGGCCAGTTCCGTTGACGCTGACGACGAGGTATTCCGCGATTGAACGGTAGCCAGAGAGAACGGAAGCGCTCTCGGGAGAGCGGCTTGGAGCGGAGTGTGGGAGATAAGGGGAGAGAGAGAAAGAAAAAGAGAGACAGAGATAACAGAAAGATAGGGGAGAGCACAAGGTGGGGAACAGAGGGAGCTAAGAGGAAGAGAGCGCCTACGACGACGTCGCGACGATCTTCCGCAGCCAGAGTATCGACACGACGGATAGACAGATTGGCGAACGGGACCGCCGCGGCTCGTATGATCAGTGGGTCCTCGCCAGAGCTCCCTCGATTAATCGACGGGTGCGCGCCGATCGTCGCCGATGACACGACATTAATCGTCACGCGACACCGCCGCCGCCGCCACGATCGCGCACGCTAAAGCAAGAGATAACCTACTCGAGACTTGCCGTAGCGCGAACAGCGGCGCAGGTGGACGAAGGTTTGTTGCCCAATTAAGGCCCAACGTTCTCGTCAGCGGGGCCGGGAAAGGGAGAGGGCGGAGGGGAGGTGAAACCGAAGGTGAAAGAGTATATATAGCACCGCGGCACAGTAGAGAGACAATTTGTCCAGGGAGGAAGTGGAAACGCGACGGTTTCGCCAACGTCGGTTCGCGCAACGTTCGCGCTATTAATAGTCGATAGCGCGTCGGGACGATCAAAATAAATACATAGATGTAGAAAAGATTCGTCGAGCTCTTTCATGGATCCCCGATACCACGGCGATCGGGGATCCATGAGCTTCGCAAAATGGCCGCCGTTTCTCTTGTCGCCCGTCTTCCCTCGCAGGAGCAATGCTCTCTGTCTCTTTCACGCGAGTGCGCGCGCGTGTCTCGACTTGATGCGGGCTTTTTCACGGATTTTCCTCCCGATCGTGTCCCCGGCAGACAAGGGACGCGAGAGCGAGGCAATCGACGATGGCGAAACCGTAGGCCGAGCGAATCGACCGTGTCGAGTGCGTTAGCTAGCGACGATTCCTCTCTGCGTCGACCTTAAATGATGCATGCGCACGTGCAGACCGCGAACGCTCATTGAGTTTTCGCGTCGAACCATCGCGTCCATCTCGCCCACGTTGCTTCCCCGCTGTTCCCCCTACCCTCTTCACCTACCCCCCTCACTCTTCTTCTCTCGTTCTTCTCCACCGGAAATCGCTGGGACGGAAGTCGGGCGCGCTGCGCGGATGCGGCGCTTTCGTAGACGAATCTCCAACGCGTTCGACGTCCTGAAAACGAGAATACGTTTGTTCAGTCGCGAATCTCGCGGGAAGTCGCGGTGTTCCTTTGCGTGTGCGTCTCACAACGCGAAATATCAGTGCAAATTTAAAAACAGCAATTTCTCGAGAATCAGGTATGCTGATCCGGACAGCACGATGTCTAAAGGTCTATCCAGATTAACTTGCGTAATCACATATTGTACATGTATAAGGAAATCAATCGAAATAATATAATGTATGCAGTAAAAAGATGTCTTTTATATCAGACACACGATTGGTCAATTTCGTGATGTATACCATACTATACACTGTGTAACTATGTATATTTATCTGGACAGCTCTTAAAGGGCGTTTTACTTTTTTCTAGATGTATTCTTTTACTTGTATCATTTAATATGTGCGACACTACATTTATAATAATGGTTCAGCTGAAAAGCTCACATCTGACTTTAAATTCGAACTCGTCCATCATGAGCCTTCTGGCGTGGACTCGATTTTATCTAACCATGTAATTTTTAATTACATTAGTCTCTCTCTCGCGTAATAATTTCTCTTGTTTCTTGAAAAAAGAAATCGGGAGAAATGAATAATTTTTCAGTACTTATACAGGACATCATGAATCTTTTCCTCCAATGTAAACTCGTAAGAAGCGAACATTTCCATGTATTCTCAAGTTAGGTTTTGCACTTTTCATGAGCTCACGTTAGGGAAAGGGATCGCCTACAATACGGTCGTAGTTACATTTTAAGGTCGTAGCGCTAGTCTGTGAATCGATCATCTGTTCCCTTCTGTTCTATCTACTTCCTTCGCGTTTTATCTACTTCTTTCGCGTGAACTCGTGAAAAATGAGAAATTTTATTGACGAATTCAATAAATTTTATCATTTTTCACGAGTTTACGCGAAGAAAATAGATACATGATCGATTTACAGACTAGCGCTACGACTTCAAAACACAAATACGACCACAGTTCTATATACATACGCTCTACAAAGTGTACAACTTAAATCAAACATATCTTTATGCAAATGACAGCTTAACGCCGATATTACAGTAAATATTTAAACCAAATATTGGGAGGATAATAATAACCTGCGACCGCATTCTAGACGGTCCCCTAAAGATTCGTGATCGATTTTCCTGATATGTCATCTATTTCAGTCAACTTTCAAATGCCGACTATTAAGGTAAAAGTATCCATCTCTTGACTTAAACCTGGATATTCTTGTTGTTTTTGATCTTTGCATTTGAATATAAATATTATGTCTAAATTTTTAACACAGAATATATGTATACATTCAACATATGTATGTGTATTCTACATTGAAAGTTTAAATATTCTTGCTTAGAGAGAAAGAGAGAGAGAGAGAGAGACTAAAACCATAAAAGTGTCCAGAGTTAAGCACGTGAGTTAGGTTATGTACGTGTCCAAGTATTGATACTTCTACTCTAATACTCGAGTCTGAGAAGTATTTTTCAGATGTTTGTGCTATCTGAGAAGTTACTTTATTCTCAAAATGTATGCAATGCCATTAATGTCTCGCCAAGTTCAAATATTTTTCGAACATTATTACAATATCATTTTTTTTCCCCATTACTTCCGCCGTTATACGCTCTATTTTCCGAACTTATCTGATATTAGCGTTCAGTTCGTTCGTTCGTTCGTTCGATCGATCGAACGAAGGAACGGACGAATCGTAGATACGCTCGCGAACGCCGAGATCACGAGTAGAAAAGCACATCGGCGGTGCGGGGTTAATCATGGCGTCATGTGGTAGGCACGGTGGCATTCCTCGCGACCATGAAGGCCACTTTACTATATTCGATTTACGACTCGCGAGTCGTGTATGTGTTGTCTCGTCAAAGAACATTATTATCGGTTCCCGTTATCGTCGTAGATGTTCTTTCTACTTAACACTTAAGCGATCCTCCTCACTGCTCGTTGTCTCATCCGATGTCCAAATATATTTTTAATTGTTTTCAGAGAGAAGTATAACGAGGAGTGCAGATAAGGAGAAACATTAGGTCTACTCGTTTTCGAAGAATCTCTGAACTAGAGTGCACACTAATACAATAAGTTAAAGTGAAAGAAAGTATGATTGTTTCATTCTAACTTATTATACTAGTTTAGAAATTCTTCAAAAACGAACAGACTTGTTAAGTCGAGTTCCGAATAATGATGTCGATGATCATTGCTACTGATCTCTATATACCACTGGATATGCTGTGGCGATAAAATAGAAGGCTTTAGGTTGCAATATTTTTGGAAATATCCAATATGACGTTTGGTCGAAAACACATTGGAGTACAGTTATTATCGGGATATATGAATATTATACATATATACATATATATATGTAAAACGTGCATCCTGAGGACATTTCTTCGTCTTCAGGACGTCCTTAGGACGTTCTCAGGAGATCTTATGCTGTCTGGGCATGTTAAAGTCATTTTTATGTTCTCCTAGCAACGTTGCACTTAATACAGATACCCCGACAAAAATTGCGTTCCAGTGCATTCCCCATGAAACGTCGCCATTTTGGATATTAGGGAGTTTTTGCAATTCCGTATTTTAGATACGGTAAACGCTGAAGTCACGTGACTTCATACGTATTCCGTTTTTACGTCGCTTACTTCAAAAGAGTTTTTGCACGGTGAATGCTATGGTAACGTACGATAAAACAGTATCCTACACGATCTGCAATCGTTTTCCATTTTTCACTCTCTTCATATGGATTTTGGGATATAATCTCCCTTAAAAGTATGAGATCATCTTGACTTGTGAATCTCAATCGTTCAGATTTCATTTTGGTAGCCATAACGTCGACGTTACTCGTGAATGCTATTTTTCAGGAATAACGTTCGCACGTTATCTGAATAGCGTTAAGGTGACCGATGCGCATGCGCAGTTTGGTCTTTTGACTCAATGACGTCATTTTAACGTTTACCGTATTTATACCATTTGCAAAAACTCCCTATTTTTAAATACTGCAAAGTGAAGCCTTCTACTCGTCGACGCGTATTTTTTTTCCATAGAAGACAATTCTAGTGAATAACGTGTCCAGTTATGTACAGAGAAATCAGTGATCCTTATTGAAACTCATAAGTACGTATTCATAGTTATATTTTATACCGTCTTAAATTTATCTGCTTTATGGATCATTTCATTGGCTATGAAGTGTCTGATAATAAACTTAAGACAGTCTTAAATATAAAATCTAACTATGAATATGGCTCATAGAGTCTCGATCGTGGCCGATTGCAATACGCGAACAACGTTATCAATCAAATAATCATTGATATCATTACGATGTATACTTACTGTTTGTCGGATACTCAACGCGATACTAGAACGCCTTTAAGTTTGCGTCATACATTGCGCGCGCGTACTTCGTGAATCTGCACGCGTCCCAAGTAGATGTGGTATTTTGAAAAATTGGGGGGTTACTACCGGCGATAGTTTCGTTATTAATTGTCATTATTATTAATTACAATTATTTATATTATTACTTGTATTATTACTGGGTAAGAGTCGATCGGGATGACTCTCTCAATTCTGATTGGTGAGCCCCAAACTTCGTTGTGCTCAAATCGTTCTGTTATACCTGCGACCATATTCATGAGTCAACGTGAGGAGAGACCGTGTCCTACCTACCTGGTCGTAGCCTCATAGAGATTCGAAAAACGTGTTCCGCGAAGGGAAGGGCGAAGAGCGACACGCGGGTTGTTAGCGCGTGCCACACGTTCATATTGTATACATTCGCGCAGCTCGGCGTTTCGCCACGTTTTACGCGCGACGATTGCGATATATCGCGACTCGGTGTTCCAGCGTTGACGTCGTGCGCGTCGTGCACGAGCTCGCCGCTATCTCTCCTCGTTCTCTCGAGGAGCGTGGTAATCGAATTCCCCGACGTCCGTCCGTCCGTAGACTCAAGCGAATCGTCGCCATTAGAGAAGAAGAAGAAGAAGAGTGGTAGTAGTAGGTGGTGGAGGAAGAGGAGAAGGTGCGCGTAGAGTAGGAGGAACTCGCGGAAGCTGTGAGAACGCGGTGGTAACACTCGAAAGAAACTTGGAAAACATCGCTGCCGACGTGTCGTCGTTTTCCCGCTGAGATTTCGCCGGAAAAAAATCGAGAAAGAAAACCGTCGGCGCGACGACGTCGAGAGGGAAGGAGGGGGGGGAGCTTCCTGTCCGTGAGCGGAAGAGATCGTTTCACGACGACGGCAGGAAAAAACATGGCGGCTCGTCACCGCCGCTGCTGTGGCGTGTCTCGGCCGCTTCCACTGTGAGAAACCCGGAGCGAGCGCACGCAGGCCCGATGAGGCCTCGCCACTTCCGCCGAAACGCGAACCGGAATTCGCTACGGCTGCGTGGCTCGAGAGACTGTACCGTTGTGACGACGACGACGACGAAGACGTAATAAAAAGGGACACGCATCGCCGATGGCAATGGCCGGTGGTCACTGACGAGTCCCGCGATATCGCTTTCGATAAAGGTTTTTAATCGCTCCACCGTGAGTCAAGACAGCCTCGGGTCAGCGTGCGAACGCTCCGAGGAGGCGTTCGAGGCGCGCCGTTTGCGCGGATGCGCCAGCAGCGACGGCAGTATAAACACATCTCTGATCCCGCGCACAGGTCGACGATGAGCCAGCTGACGAGGCTTGGGCTGCCATCGGGGGACTGTGAATAATTATTGGTCCTACGGAGGGAGCGCTATGTTGCCCGCGGCAGGCAAGGCTGAGCGGAGAAGTCTGCGTGGAAGCGCGCGGCTGTCGTCCAAGATGTCGGGAAGGCAGCCCCGACTGCGAATGCTGCGACCACGACCACAGCAGCAGCAGCAGCAACAACAACAGCAGCAGGGAAAGAGCAACTCCGCCGATGCTTCCGTGACCGTGGAGGCTACATCTCGTCGAGCGGAAGGTAACCTGAAAGAGACGGAGAAGCTCGCGGATGCGAGAAAGCGCGACGCCAGGCCAGCCGATGCGAAAGCCGAGTACACAAAGGCGAGCGCGATGGCGAACGAGGTGGACGATGGCGGCGGCGGAGGCGACGACGACGACGACGACGATGACAGCTATGATGGCGAGCTGATGATCGTGGAGGACGAGCCGGCATTGGATGTCGACCTGAAGAAAGACGAGGAGGTGATCGATCTCGAGCCAAACGCGAATTCCTACGAATGCAAGAACTGTAAGCCCCCGAAAACGCTGCCGAGCATCAAGGCCTACCTGGAGCATCTGCGGAGGGATCACAAGCACAAGGTGAGTCGCTGGGACTGCTTGATTCAAAGCTTCAATTTCCTTTCACCCTCGAGCCGACTCTCTCGATGTTTCTTGTGTTCTTGCCTCTTACTCTCACTCACTCTCTCTCTTTTTCTCTCTCTTTCTCTTTCATTCGTGTGTCTGTTTCTTGTCGTTTTTCTGTTCGTTTTGATTGTCGTGTTTTTTAAAGCGGGAAGTGCCTCGATGAAAAGGAAGAAAAGAGAGAGAAAGGAAAGAAAAAAAAATGGAAGTGAAGTTGCGGAGCTTTTTTTAGGAAAATTGATTACAACACACATGAGTGTCTCTTTCTTTCCCATATAGATTGCAAGAATATGTTTTACTGTAATTTTTAGGGCAAAAGTGCACACAGCCCGGTCGAAAATCGGTGTTCTGCGTGTTCGTACGTTGCGTTGAACGTGAAAGATCTCGAAGATCACCAAAGGGTGCATCATTTGAAAAGGAGATTCTTTCGATGTGCAAAATGCTCCTACGCGACTCACGTCCGAGCGCGTTATACTAAGCATGTTAAATATCATTATATGCCAATGGTCAAGTGCGATGCTTGTGATTTTCGCACGCCATATAAGGTTTGTCCCTCCATTCTATTTAGTTCCGCAGAAATGTATGATTACGTCGCCAACTCGCTCGAAAAAAAAAAACACAAAATGCTCAAAGAACAATTAGAGATTGCTTTTTTGTCGAGAAATCGTTCTGTCGTTCGGAGAGGCCGCCCTGCTGAAATTAATCCCGTGCCATCGGCATCATTTTCAGTGGAATCTAGATAGACATACCCGGAATCACGGATGTGCGGGTGCTTTTCAATGTCGTGCATGTAACTTTACTGCTGATATTCGGCAGAGCTTGACGGTGCACGAGGCCAATCACCATGACCCACCGGTGGGTCAAGTCAGCCGCAAGAGTAATAATTCTTTCGAACGTAAGCCGCGCAATAGTCCCAAACGCTATAATCAGGTAATGTGGCACATCAGTTACCCTCTTTCCTCAAGCACATTAAGCAAACGCGCGATAATATATACACATACATACATACACGTATATATGTGTGTGTATATACATATGTATAACATAATGTGTGTATTTAATATCTGTTCAGGTTGGGGCGAGTGACTTCCAAGAAGGTATGAGAGGTTTGATGGCGTCCAGTATTCCCGACACGTCGGATTCATCGGTGATTCTAGTAGAGGATAAAAAGAGCGCTCTGGCTGGTGCCGAATGCATCGCGTTAAAATGCGAGGAGAAGGGCTGCCAGTTCATAACGGCCTGGGATTCTGAGATGCAGCGTCACTTAGCCGAATGCCACAAACCAGTGGTTTCGCCCAAGTCGAAGAAACCATTGCCAATGTTGATTCCACTGGGCTCACCTAATTCCAAGCCAAGCAATGCAGTCAACAGTGGGCCACCCACGACTTTGCTGAAGGTCCCGCGCGTCAGAGTCAGGCCAGAGTTGGCGCAGATTGCGAGAGACACCGAGTTGGCCAAGATGTATGGAAATAAGGAGGTGAGTTGAGAGGAATTCCTAGTCATCGTTGAGGATGTATTGCCCGTAATGGTCTCTAAAAAGTTTTAATATTAGAAATACGCCAATATTTCTATTTTCCGTACGAAAACG